CACCTGTGCCACCACCTTTACGAACTGTGACGAACCGGTTTGCGCCCATCTCCAGTTGGAACTAAAGTGGGATTTGTGACTTCAATAGATTCATGGCAGAAGCTTTCACTCAAAGGCAGAGCAATGCTCACAAAGAGCAGCCCACGAGGGCAAGATCACCCTTTCGTTTTTGTTCCTTACTTCGTATTGGGGTGTGTGTGGAATAGCTGGTCTGTTGAGTATATGCGAGGCCACGATACCTGGCTGGTGAGTGACAAGTGGCCCACGCCGGGGCCAGCCTGTCGTGAAAATAAGATAACTGAAAATGAAACTAAACAAAACGGAAACATCTCTACGGTCAGTGTTACTTTCGGCAATAATAGCATGAAGCTCCAGGAAGGCTCATGTCAGAATATTGCTACAAGGCATTAAAAGAGAAAAAGGAAGAAAAGATAATAAAAAGCTTCCTTTAAAAAGAAAGAAAGAAATCCTGCAGGGAGATCAAGAGCCCGGCAAGCCTTCTCTTTGGGGAATAGCACCAAAATGTTGGCTAATTATTCCTGACATTTATTCTTTGGTCCCTTAGTGAAGGAGAGCTTGGGAGGGAAGATTTAAGAAACTAATAATAGCCCATTTAAAATATTTACCGACTCGCATCTTGAGAAGTGGAACGGGAGGTCTTTTTTCTGTCATGAAGAATTCCGTGGCTGTGTTCTTTTGGTACCTTTGAGGATGCAAAGATAATAAGAAGCACTAGAAGCTTCTAATCCTGAGATGGAAAGCGTATTTACCGTACCTCTGCTGTGCGCTGGTTGTAAACACACTGCACTGACCCATTTTCGCTATCTGAGAGCGACAGTAAAGTGTCCTCTTATTGGGTCTGAGTCTTTCTTGTGGTTCTTTTTCATTGTTTTTTTTTCCCCTTTCTTTTTCATCTTTTAAAAGTCAGCCGGTTTTCTAGCAGGAGGAAAGCTATCCTGTCTGAATGACGAGAGTCGCTGATTCTCCGCAATGTAATGGCGAAATAATGCACACATACATGCATGCATAAATCAGATGTGCAGCTGTTTTTCTTACATACTCTGTGTTTAGAAACCCCCACAGTGCTACACAATCTGCAGGCTGTGCATGCTTAACTTCAGCAGGGATGGCTCAATTCTTCTATTATAAATGTATGGTGGAAAGACTTCCATGCAGATATACACTCCTTATAATGTTAAGTACGTGTTATCCAAATCAATTTCTGGCTTTAGTTTAGTTTCCCTTTTTAATAACTAGTGAGAGAAAGTTTATTAAGATGCAGATTGAAGGGGTAATCAGACTGTAAGATGGCTGGCCATTAGGGTTGGCAGGCATCACAGTTATGGCTTCCCTAGATCTTCAGATATGGAGACAGATCACAAGGTGAGAAGGCCCGGAAAGTGCAATAATTTGATTTAATTGGGTGCAATGGTTTTGAAACAAGGGCACTGGTGTATTCCAATGCCAATGAGTGAGATGCCTCACTGTCCCAGGACTTATGTGTTTGCATGTGCATTGTGCACACACAATTCTATCCAACAGTGATTAGGCCTCATCTAGAGTCCTATGTCCAGTTCTGGACACTGCACTTTAAGAACGATGCCAGCAAAATGGAGCAAGTTCAGAGGAGAGCAACAAGGATGATCAGGGGATTAGAAAGGAAGCTCTGTGAGAAAAAACAGAAAGATCTAGGCATGTTTAGCCTTGAGAAGAGAAGACTGAAGGGAAATATTATGGTACTTTTCGAATACTTGAAAGGCTGTCATACAGATTTGTTATTGATCACCCCAGAGTGCAGGATACGCAACAATGGGCTCAAGTTACAGAAAGCCAGATTTCAGTTGAATATCAGGAAAAACTTCCTGCTAGAGCAAATATGGCAATATAATCAATTATCTTGAGAGGTGGTGAGTGCTCCAATGCTGGAGGCACTCAAGAGAAAATTAAGACAACCACCTGGCAGATATTCTTTGATCTGTATTCCTGCACTTGATGGCCTTATGGGCCCCTTCCAACATAATGATTCTATGATTCTGACTTACGCTGACCCTCTTTCAGGGTTTTCTGGGTAAAAAATACTAGGAAGCAGCTACCATTCCCTTCTGGGTGCGTCCTGGGACTGTGTTATTTGCCCATAGCAACACAAACGAGCTGTTCTTACAGTGGAGAATGAATCTCCCAAACTATGGCTCCACAGCCAGATAGCTAAACCATCAGTTGATTCCCTAGAACACTACAAGTACTGCAATCTGTGATCAAGTTTTACAGTATCACAGATACGCCAGTTGTTGTTCAAAGCTCCCTTTGCTAAATTAACTGCACTATTTGAAGGAGGTGGCTCATATGTATTTTTTGTTTGTTGTTTACTTGCTTCAATACAATACACGAAGTATCCCAAATCATGCTAGAAAGCAGGGGCTATTAATTCACAACCATCTAATTAACAACAAAAGCCCCTATACTCCAAGAAACTCAAAACAAACCTCAGGGACATAGTTATCCCTCCTTTCTCTTTCCTCTTCCTGCAGTTTGATGGAGATACCTCTGACTGGCCCTCTTTGAATACGTTTCATCAGATGAGTCACATACCTGTAGAGAGACAGCATATGAGTATGCCTGGCTGTAAATCTCTGTATTCCTAACACAAAAAATTAACAGGAGAAAAAGCCAGCAGCGACAAAGCTCATACCGCAAACGCATACAAGCACGTATCTAGGCGCTAAGCTCTGCCATTTTTCTGCTAATCTTCCAGCTGTCACAATGTCTGAAAAGCTCAGGGTTTGGTAGGGTTGAGAAATGGTCCTCCAAACACGGGAAATGCTGTCAAGAATGCTGTTCCTGCAGTATCAATGACTAGGCCACAAACAAGACCAAAATCACTTTCGATGCAGGTTCTAAAAGGAGGAGACATCACAGCTTAACTTCCAATAGGCAGCCTCACAAGCATATGCTAGCAGAGGAAAACCAAACAACTTACCCAGCAATTTTGTTTCTCAACTTTTTACTAGGGATTATGGCAATCTCTTCACATACTCGTTTGTTTGTGTGGAAATCATTTCCAAGGCGGGTATAGTATTTTTCAATGATGACTCGGGCAGCCTTTTTCACTGTCTTCGTGCGCACACGTCCCTAGGAAATTCCAAAAAGAGAATAAATAAGCATGGTGCAATAGTATTGAAACCATTTTTGATCTTAGAGTTTAGAATTTTTTTTCCAGATAGAGAAGAATCCTGAAACAGGTTCTCTCTCAACTATCCTACTATAGCAGAGGTTTAAGATTCAAAATATGACAAGTTGGAAATAAAGAGGCATTGATACAGGGCAGCAACTTTATGTAACCAAGCCTTAAAGAGATTCATGAAAGGTGACAAATGGTGAGCAAATCCTCTATAACCCTTCCAAGTCAGCACTATTTTCTGACAGTTGCCTACAACTAGTCAATAACTACAGAGACAAAAGGAATGTTCCCATGACATGAATTGCTCACACAATGTGGCACTTCCCCCCCCATGCAAACTCTCAGTGGTAATTTTTCATAAGAGTGCTTTTCAGTTAAAAGCCATTTGGAACAGGATTGCTCACACAATGTGCCACTTCCCCCCCCCCATGCAAACTCTTAGTGGTAAATTTTCATAAGAGTGCTTGTCCACACACAGAACATCCAGTTACCTATGGTCAAACAGACTTCAACGATCAACAAATAAACCACTATCCACTTCCTACCCCTTCATTTCTGTGGCATCCCATCCAGCATAAGGGAAACCTGCACACTTAAGCAGAGCATGCAAACAGCAATGGGCAATTCCCTTCACTACTGCAGGTGAGCGCACCAGGATTTGCCACTAAGTAAAATCACCTTTAAATCAAGGTGAAGAATGGGGGTGGATTCACCAAACGAAGTAAGCCCATAAATGACCCAGCAAAAACAAACCAATAAACCGCCACCCAAGAATCCTTTCCTGTAGCCATTTTCCTCATTTCGTTGCACCCACTTGTGAGCGCAATGACAAATAAATTTCTTATGTCTATGTCTTATGTCTTTATGAGGTTACTAATGCGGAGAGGGAGAAAATAAAGGAGGGGGGGGGACCTGCTTTATACCCTTCGTGCCTATAAGCCAGCGATCGCTTTTTCGCCTCTGCTTTTGGGGCCTGAACCATAAGCAAAAAATCCTTTTAGTGAAGCCTTTCCTGGCTTGTCTTCCGTCTCCCCAGGAGGGTGCCAAGAGAGCACCGAGGAGGGGAAAAAGCGTCAGGCCGAAAGCCCGTTCCTTCCCTCCACCGGCGAGCAAGCCAAGGCCCAGGAACCGCGCAGGCGGCCAGGCCCCGCGTTGTTCTCCTTCCTAAGGCCCCGGTCACGGACAACCCCCCCCCCAAGACACCTCTGCGCCCCGCGGAGCCTGGCCAGCCTCCCCCCAGGGCCGGCCAAGGCCCGAGGG